TTTTTTCTTAACTCGAAGCTTTCCGAAGCGGGACGAGGAAGGAATGTGAATATATAATATATGAGAAATTGAATTGAAAATTTTATAGGACTAATACAAGAAATGCTGTTAAATTCAGCAAAATTAATTCTGGCGGAAAACTATCTCTGGTTACATTTTGAGCATAACTTACATTGATACGAAGAAGATATAAAATAAAGTTGTATAGAGGAACAGAAGAGGACGAGGAAGAAAGCTAGAGTAAAAGAAGGGATATACGAGGAGAAATAGCCGGCGCAATCACGTACGGGGTTCGAAAGGTCAAGATCAAGTTGCCGGGGGAGATGTGATCTAGAACCGCAGATACAGAGAGAAAAGGGGTGCTATGGGCGTAGGAGAGAGCAGAAGAATAACGCTCTTCTGTGCCATCGACTTTAAAACTAAGGTGGCAATTGGCCAGCGTTTCTGTTTGAGTATACGCCATTTTTTTGTCAATTTGTGCTTTTTTCCTCGCTTCATACACGTAATATGTAACGCTATGAAGTTAACTTAATGTGGCAGGACCAGGGGATGTTTTATACAATGACGCATGAATTTTCAGTCTCGTATTCTTTTTACAGAAGCATAGAAAACGGATAAAGTAATACATTCCCCAATACCGAAGAGGACGTGCATTTACCTCTAAATCCCTCGGGCATACGATCGAGCTGGTCTCAGGATTTGCCACTCCGAATTGAGGGAGTCTAATGAAGGCACGTGCGGACTCGCCTTTGTCGTTCACTAAGGATTTCGACACAACTAGAAACAGCTTAATTAAGCGAAACCAGCATTACACAGCTGTCCGTATGCATCTACACATGCTGGTGAATACCCATGTGAGTGTAGACTCAACTATACCGGGTGTCCCATACAATGCATATCAAGATTTTTATTCTGTAATTTTTGTACGTTAATTTGACCGATACTTTTTGATATAACATTTCTTAATATAATTATTCCTTAATTATATTAAGTATTTGATACAATATCTCTATGAAATATTTTTAACATATAATAATGTTACGGTTAATAAAATGATTGGAGAAAGATTTCACAATTTTCTCTACATTTTTACAAATTTGTTTTAAAAATGTCGAATGTTTCGTAAAAGTTCAAAATCATATGTTTGTAAAAGATATCTGTGTATGTAACATTTAATGATTATCAAATGGCATCAGCTTTATAAGAGCACTGTTGAAAAATTACAATATTTATATACATACAATAATCCGTTTTAGTTAACACATTTTCTTTTGCAGTATTAAAATTACTGAGATACTACTATTATACATAATCGATTAAAGGTTATGAAAAGCTCTACAAAAATGTCATATTCAGAAATAATCATTTTGTCATAAATGTAAATATTTATCTCACGTTGAGTTGGTACGATTGAAATTATAACTTTGCGCGATTGATTGAGAGGGTCAAAGATGAGAGACGAGAAAAAACCTTCCGCGAAAAGGAGCTTGTGGAGATCTGAGGCAAAGCTCAGCTTTAAATGGAATCCCGTTTTGGAAAGCTGCATACAGTTTAATTAAGCCAGACCCATTTCGCTTGTGTCTACAAACGGTATTTTGCAGTAATGCCTCTAGTTGCTTCTCTCTCTTCCTTTTCTCTCGTTCTCTATCCGACCTCTCTATAGAGTGAGCGTCAGTTGAAGGAAGTCCAAGTTCGCCTAAGTCTCGAGTCTCGAGTGTCCGTCCTAATGAATTGCTAAACTATCCCGAATCCCCCCTCAAATGAAAGCTCGATTTCCCTGAATGGTCGACCTTTCCTTCGGGCTTAATGCCCGATTAATCAAGGATACTAATTTTATCAAAAATTTAAGAATGTTGGAGTTGAGAAAATCCCATCGTTTAATAGTAATTTAGTAAAAAACCGATTGGACTTAATTGATTGATATCTAAGCTATTGAAAATGAGAGTTAAGAATTTGTTGTATTTATTTGCTTCTGGAGTAATGAATAATTAATTGTTTTTATATGTATATTATATATTTTATCATATTTGTTCATACAACTTTGCGCGTTGAAAACGTTTTTGGCTACTTTTAATTTTATTTTGTGAACAAATCTATGTTTATTATATTTTAAAAGTAATAAATTTTAATTATTTCCCTCCCTCCAATATATCCAGAATATTTCGATATCTCTTTGCAGTATTTTATGTAGCTAGATCGAAATAACTTTTAACTCTTCATCTTTTTTTTTTGTTTGAGATCAATGCCATATTTTAATAGAATATAAGTGACAAGTTTTATTGTTTAATGCCATATTTTAATACAATATAAATGACATTATCCTTAATTTAGATAGATTTAAAACTAATTCTAAATAGTCTACGAATATTATAGAAGCAACAAAAACACGATGTTTAATAGTTAGATTATAAAATTAAAAATTAATTAATACATAATTGTTCACAACAAATAAAAGAACAACTTGATTTTTTAGAATCAGAACACTACATTAATAAAAATTAGTAAATTATACAGAATTTTTATTGTTAGAATAAATAGATAGATATTCACGATTCAATGTCGCAATAAATCGTATTATGTGGATATAAATAATGTAACTGGAATCAATACGGTAGCATAATTATAAACTATAGAGAAATTTTAGCATTGATAATTAATTGTGTAATAGAGCAAGGTAAAAATAAAAATAGAATGGAAAGAAAGAAAGAAAGAGAGAAAGAATAAAGACAAGGACGCGGGGATAAAAAGAGATAGAGGATGAAAGACGAATATGAAACAAGGGGGATGGTGATGCAGCAGTGTAATGGGATGGATAGATAGACAGAAGAAAGGGGGTAGAGGGGGGGAGGGGGAAAGATATCGGAGCGGGAGGAGAAGTAAAGTTACGAGGCTGTTTACAGGCGGCTGTTAAAGCGATCTAACTCATGGCCGGCCATTGCTCCCGCCAGGCTTGGCTACGCAACGCAACGTTGTTCGCGCTTTATACAAGTCGCCTCAAGCGCAGCTAGTTCCATTTTGCAGTTAAATCGCGTAAATTGTTTAAATTTCAGTATATCTTGAAATCCTCGATTAAAAGGAAAGATATCAGATGTCTCGAAATCGTGAAATAGAAAATAAGCAGTGCAAATAATAAACAGTGAAGCGAATTGCTCGTTTTCCGCTCGGTGACTTTGCGGGCGAATTATCGACTAATATTCGACTGTTGCCGCTCGTTGCGTCTCCAAGGCATTCTCCCTTTGAGGGCAATCTTCCGCATACGTACCCCGATCCGCGGGGTCCGTAACCGCGTCTTTGCCGAACTACCCCAACGACTCCAACGCGCGGGAATTCCGTGCGAAGTATTTATTCATCAGGGTAACCCCTACTGGTAAAGGAATTTCATAATGCCGCTGTCACACGCTGCCATTGATTGAAGGATCGCTTCTCTACTCCTCCCCTCCCTTGCTCTTCCGCTATCACGACAAAAATGTTGCTGTTGATTGAAAATGGCAGGAACCATACAGTGCTCTTGAAAAACGCACTTTTTACAGGAAGATCTCTTTCACGATATTTTAATTCTCTGCAATGGCATTTGAGTTTTCTCAATAAAGGTGCAAAATGAAACAAAAAAAAAAATATCGAAGATTTATTTATTTCAAATTTTTATTTTAATTACAAGAATATGTAATATTGTTAATTTAAATGGTGATTATCCTTAATAGTTCCATCGAAGGAAAATTATATCCTAAAGAAGATGATGAAAGCATAATCAATATTACAGATATGTCTTGTACATACATACGTCGTGTACATGCCCAGACGGAGACATAGACGTAAGGCTATGTAGATAGAAACGCATCTATTTACGGCTGAAACATGTCCATTCTGCAGCTCGCGGGGCATAATATCGTTTGATGACGTCATTAAGTTAGAGCGGACTTATTGTTTCTCGTAAAATGTACGTGCAAACACGTCATTCTGTTTCTGGATGGGTTTAAGCTCTATTCACATACCATGGTATATATCATGCATATAAGAAAAATTCTTTCCCGACGAAATATTCGGTGGTGAAAAAAAGAGATTGAAGTATAACAACTTAATTTTGAAAGCGACAAATTTCCTTTTTCATTTATTTTCTATATTTCTTTTCATTTATGTCTCTTGTTTTAACATTTCGTTTTTGTGTGAATTCATCTTAATTCGAAATTTCCGTGGTCTCATTCTTCCATTATCGTCGTCGGAGTCTTTATTTTCCAGAATGGTGACTATAAAGCAGTCGTAAACTTATAATTAAATGCCACTAATGGCGTACATGTTCGGTACATGCGATACGCATCCTCGCAACAGTATATTTTCGCCGAAAATGGATGCCTTTACAAACTTCTTTTCCACGATAATTGAGATATTATTTTAAAAAAAAGATTTTTACATTTTGTATCGCGATAATTGCCTACTCTCTAAATCTGAACTAGTGAATAGTCACTAATTACTCAGTGGCTTACTTGACACTGATAATCAGTGAAATTTAATTAAAAAAGGAAAAATGCTTGAGCATTATATAACTAAAATACTGATATTTACATATTAATTTCAATTTTCCAATACTATATTCATTTATGCACTAAAACAAAGTTAATTAGATCACATAATAAAGATGAGCTAGGTTAAGGATCTCACATTTCATTCACTGATTATCAGTGGCATGCTTGGCACTGATATCAGTGATTATCTATAGAGATAAGGCTAATAGAATGGTACATAAAAGTGCAATTCAATTATTTATAATAAGAGTAATATAGAAAAAAAATCTGATTGTATTAATAAGAATTCTGATGGAAATAATCAGAATAAATCAGAATTTTCTGATTAAATCTAGTCGGGATTCTAGTTGAGATAATGAGAATTCTGATTGATATGGTCAGAATCTTCTGGCTTTTAACCAGAAATTTTTCACAGTATAACACGCAAAAAGCAAAAGATATTGCAGTTGATTACGATAGTATTTTTTTTTTCTGTTACAGGAGAGCCCATCTTAGGACTTGTCTTGAGAAGCTGAAGCTGCTAGTGCCACTCGGGCCTGAAACCTCGAGACACACCACGTTGGGTCTTTTGACCAAGGCCAAGCGTTTTATCAAGGTGAGTAAATCAGTCAAATTACTAAAATTGATATATAAAGTCGGGTTATCATAATAAAAAAACCAGAAAACAGATTATTCTTTTGTCTTACTCGACAGCTAATGATCACTTATTGTTAGATTGAAATTTAAAGTTCTTTACATAAGAATGTTATCTGCGAAAGATTATTATTACTGAAGAAATAAAGAAAGAGAGAAAGAGAGGTTAAACTCAGAATTTGAGATATAAGCAGGAAACGCATTAGAAACATTGTTTCCCGATTGAAATAGGTTCAGAAGGGACAAATGGGCGGAGGAAGAGCTACACGCGGTGTAAAGAAAGGCAGAGCAAGGTGTTGCAGCAAACAGAGTGGCGATGCACAATAGATGCGTAGTTAGTAAATTACAGACTGCCAGGGACAATGGCGTGCGTACCGAGCAAATGCGGCGGGCGCGTGTGTGCGTGTCAGAGTTTTCCACGCAGTCTACAGGGTGACGTGGATAGAAGCGCAGTGATTCGAACAGGTGACGAAGGCGCGTGTTCTTTGTTTCCTCGAGTAAATTGTTCTCGTAAAACGTACTTAAAATATTCACCATTCTTGCGCACGTGCATTATGTTCCGGCTATGTATTCTCGAGGTGTATTCTTAAAGAGACTTTCTCGCCATTTACCTGATTTGTTTTGCTTCCTTTTTCGCGAGACATAGTCTTCTCTTCAAATCTTTCCTTGGTATAATGAAAACAATTTTATGGCGCGAAAATGCGTTGTCTTTTAGATACAATCTATTTCTTCTGTTTCTAAAGTTTTTTTTTAATGATGCTAAAAGAGATGCGTATTAACAAAATTATTAAATTGCTTGCCAATGTTACTATTCTAGTTCTGTTCATGATTGCGTTTCAAGACTGAAAAAGATTCCGGCGTGCGGTTTGCAGAATTGAATATGTATATAAATTCGCACTGTGTGAAATACTTAAACATTAAGATCTGCTTTGAAAATAGGATTATTTTTTTTAAACGCTACAAGAGAATCTCGCCCACATCCATAAATGGATGTGTAAATTATTAAATGATATTCATAGTGGATGATACGATAAATCCTACAAGATAAGAAAATAGAAACAGGTAGATAATTAAAAGTTATCGAAATATGCAAAATATCGTTTCGTGATAAACGTGCGTGAAAAGTGAAGGCGTTTATTTTATCGATGTAATTTCTTCATCGTCTGTTACGATCTGAACGATGGACTCGGAGCACCCTATAGAATGGCAAGCAGCAGTGCGTATCCACCGTTCATTCGTGTATGCATAGTCCGCGTGGGAGACTCAGCGTGTACATCAATCTGACCTGCGGGCACCTGTGTATATTATGTGCCTGCGTTAGGTAGGAGAAAAATGTTTGTTCGCCATTTGAGAAGGAAAGCTGCTACGCGTAATTTAAGAGGGCATCTGCAAACGTAATAAAGATCGTAATATCGGAAAATGATGGAGCATCATAAAAGAATGATTTTAACATGATATATAACGTTTGATTGTCACATTCACTTTATAAAAGTCATTTTACAAAACAAAACTTTTTTTCCGGTACTTAATATTGTACCTTCACATAGTAACTTCCTGATTGATTCGACAACGACAGTAGGATTATGGTAGAGACAAGATATTCCGTAAAGCGAAAAATAAGGCGGAGGATAAAGGAATAAAGAGGTTGAAAAGAGGATAGATAGAAGTTGAGAGAAGATAGTGATAAGAGAGAGGAACTGAGAAACATGAAAGTGTCGTTTCTGTAGTGGCGGTTTACACCCTCGCGAGGAAGTAAGACGTGAAGGAAAGGATGAGGTGGAGGGTTGAAGCGATTCGTGTTTTGCGAGGTTGGCGGCGTGTAAGTCTTCATTTGTCCGCCTTTGAATTTCTTCCTTTTTGTTTTGCCTGATGGTCTTCATGATTCTTTTCACACTTCGGTAGACATTTCCGTCTACCACTAATTATTCTATACGCTTTTCTTTTTCGCCTTATCCATCTACATTTAGACTATGTGTATAATAATAAATGGATATAAAGAATAGGAAGAATGGCTTGAAATTTTTTTAGTTATAATCAAAAGTATGGGATATTGTAGCAATTTTTTAATTTTTACGCTTGATATAATTAACTCGATATAACTTTATTACACGTAAGCAAATGTTGAAAATAAGTATTTTCAATTTTTATGGAATGCGGAAAATTTATTGAGAATGGTATTAAATCGAGAAAACTAGATTTTTACTTTATTATCATAAAATATTATTATAGACTTTTTTTAAACATATTTTTCAAGACTTTGAACTGTTCTTCTTTTTAAATGTCATTATTGGTATTTTTTATCTATATAGTATATATTATCTAGATGTGTAGAAAAAGCCATTTTATGTTAAATAATTTTATGATGGAAATATGACCTCCATTAACATTAATACGTAACACAAAACGTTGCAACAATTTTGATGCCGATTGTACGTATATTGCAACCAGCATCGGCCGACACAATGTAAATGGTAAGAGTGAACCGAGTCTCACTTCTGAGGTCGGTCGATTGGCTTTATGGCGGAGTATGCTCCGCTTAACGCTTTTCTTAGCCTTGTTTTATCTCCGTTGTAAATTCATATCGAATAAAATGAAAAGCACGAAATCAGGAAATTTCTTACGAGCACGATGTCAGCCGCGCTATAAACACGCACACGCAAACACATCGCCTGTCGTGTGGTACCTTAATCTGTGATCAGGTGATTCGCCGAGCTGCTTCCTTACCTCAGTGCCATCCATCCTATATCTAAAGCATTGATTCTCAGCTATCTTACCGCCCTAAATTTTTTCACTACGGGAACATATCGGTCATGGCACACTTAAAAAAACTTAAAATGGCTAATCGCAGTAGAAAACGTAAGCAGTAGCAAGTCCAACATATTAATTTCCTTATTGCTTATGTCTTACTTACTGCTTGAGTTTTTTTGTGTGCCATAGTTTTAACAATCGCGAGATCTTCGCCAATCTTTGTTCTCATGTTAACATTTTTTTAAGAAAGACACACACACACACACACACATACACACACACACACACACACACACACACACACAC